TACTTTAAGTCTTTGCCTTCATTGCGGCTCGTCTCCGGTCAGGTTAAGGCCGGAGAACCAGCGTTACATTAGGGTTTAGGGTTTAGAGGAGTAGCAGCAGCAACAAAGCAACGGCACACACATGTACACCCTAAACCCTAAACCCTAAACCCTCGATTACAGAGCACGCAGAATGAAGGGTTTAGGGTTTAGGGTTTGTATGATCTCTTATACAACGCAAGCATATGAATTTGTCTTCATGCTGCAGCAGCAGCAGCAGCAGCAGCAACAGCAACAGCAACAGCAGCAGCAGCAGCAGCACATGTGTTAGTGAGCTAAGAGGGTGACATAGAGAGAGGCAACGAAGGTAACAAAGGAAAGGAGACAGAGAGGAGACTCTCCCCTGCTGCAGCAGCTGCAGCAGCTGCAGCAGCTGCAGCAGACAGCAGCAGAGAGCAGCGACAGCAGCAGCAACAGCAGCAACCACAGCAGCAGCAAGAGCAGTAGCAACACCAGCAACAGCAGCAGCAGCAGAAACACACTAGCAGCAGTAACACCAGTAGCAACACCAGCAGCAGTAGCAACAGCAGCAGCAGCAGCTACACCAGCAGCACCATCAGCAGCAGCAGCAGCAGCAGCAGCAACAGCAGCAGCAGCAGCAGCAAGGAGAGGTAAATATCGACGACCCATTGATCTTCTTTTTATTAAAAACGAAAAAGTCAGCATTATTATAATTTGTTTAGAATCTCCACAACAGAAGACACAGCAACCGGAGCAGCAGGGGCCCCCGCTGCTGTTGCTGCTGCTGCTGCAGTTGCTGCTGCTGCTGCTGCTGCTGCTGCTGCTGCTGCTGCTACGGTGAGACGCAGCAGCCATCCCTTCGTCTTGGCTCCACCAATTCTTTTTCTGTTTATGCTGCAGCTGATTTGTTAGTTGAATTTGCTTTGTCTATAGCGAGGGCAGTGGGGTGTATCTGCAGCAGCAGCAGCAGCAGCAGCAGCAGCAGCAGCAGCAGCGCCGGCGGCAACGGGAAGAGCAGCAGCAGCAGTTACTGCTGCAGCTCTGCTGCTGTAGAAGTCGTATTTGCTCCTTCTTCTGTTCGTCTGCTGCAGCAGCAGCAGCAGGAGAGCCTAACGGCGCATTTGAGGGGTTCTGCACGCCAGCAGCAGCAACCGCAGCAGCAGCAACCGCAGCAGCAGCAGCAGCAGCAGCAGCAGCAGCAGCAGCAGGAACAGCGGCGGTAGAAGGTGCTGCTGCAGCTGCAGCTGCAGCAACCGGAGCGAGGCGGAGGTGTAGGATTCAGCTGTTTTCAAGCAGCAGCAAACAGGTGCTGCTGCTGCTGCTGCTGCTGCTGCAACAGCAGCAGCAGCAGCATCCGCACCAGCACCAGCAAAAGCAGCAGCAGCAGCAGAAGGGGCAGCAGCAGCAGCAGCAGCAGCAGCAGCAGCAGAAATGTTGTCTCGTCTGTGGGGTGCTGTGAAGCGCCACCCTTATAGGGCGGTGGCGGGTGCAGCAGCAGC